TTTATTTATTTATTTATCTATTTATCTATTTATCTGTTTATCTATTTTGTTGTTATATAAACAAATTAAGTAATAAAAATATATATAAAATAAAATTTTTATATAAAAATAAAAAAAAATATTGTTATTATTTCATGAAAAGTATAATAAATAAATAAATAAATATTATATAATAACTAAATAAATATTATATAATAAATAAATAAATACATTGAAAAAATATTTTTAATATAACGATAATAATAATATTTAATAAAATAAATGTTGTACAATAATAAAAAAAAATAAATACAAAAAAAAAAATAAAATAATAAAAAATTTCAACAAGAATGAATAATAATAAAATTACACAATATTATTATTATTTAAATATAATAATATTATTATAATATATTATAATATAAATAACAATATAATAATTATTATATATTATATATTATACAAATCAAATACAATATTTATTATTTAATGTATTAACATATATTACATTATATTTTACATATTGTATCACTTAACTTAAATATATTGGAAAATTTTTATTTTTTAAAATATTTTATATATTGAATAAAATGTTTCTCTACAAATTGATTAGCCATAAAATAAATGTATAAATAAATAAAAAAATAAATAAATGTTATAATGAAATAAATGGATATATCAATAAAAATATTTTTTAAAACATAAATTAAAAATACTTTATTTTTTTTTTTTTTTTTTTTCTCTTTACAAAAAAAGTATTGTATAATATAAAGTATATTATTTTTTTTCAATTATTGAAAAGAAAAAAAAAAGTATTATTTAAGAATTTATAATTTACTTTTTTTTTAACTACTAAGAAAGAAAAAATAGAGTGTTGAAAAAAAAAAAAAAACTTAATTTAAAAATAAAGCGAAATCCTCAAAAAATAAAGTAATTATATATATATATTTTTTATCTTTATTATCAAATAAATATTAAAGTTTTCATTCAAAACAAAACCACAACAATAATATATATTGAAATAAATTAAACGAACAAAAACGATATAAACGATAAAATTAAATAGTTTTAATAATAAAAATAATAAAAATTAATAAAAATAAAAAAATTTATAAATATAAATTATACATCAATTAATTAAATAATTGAACAAAATAAATATAATTGATAGTGATTTTATTATTTTTTTTCAATAATTATAAATTATATAATTTAAATTTAAAAATATTAAAAGTAAAGAGTAAAAGATAATAATTATTAGATAAATTTGTTAAATTTATTAATGTATAATAAAATTTTATAATAAACATTTATTTATTCATTTTATATAATAATTTATATTTTCTAATTAACTTTTCTTTTTATTTATTATTATTATTCAAAAAAAAAAAATAGTATTTACTTATTATTATTTATTTAAATAAAAAAAAAATATTTCAAAATGTCTGATATTATGCCTGAAAAAGAGAATCAAAAAGCTATTGATAAAATTTTTAAAATCAAAGATAATGATTCTTCCGTAAAAACTGAAATTATTGGTGGTTTTACTACCTTCATGGCTATGGCTTACATTATTGCCTTAAACCCAAATATTCTTACTAATTATAAAGAAGGTGGTCAACCACTTTGGAATGGTGTTTTTCTTGCTACTTGTATTTCATCATTTATTGCTATGTTAGTTATGGCTTTCCTTGCTAATAAACCTTTCTGTCTTGCTCCAGGTATGGGTCTTAACTCTTTTATGGCTACTGTTATTGCTAACCTTATGGCTATGACTAAAATGAGTTATGTTGAATGTTTCCAAGCTATGCTTTGTATTGTTCTTGTTGAAGGTATTATATTCTTCATTCTTTCTATTTTCAATATTAGAGATAAAATTGTTACAGCTATTCCACTTGGTATAAGACTTGGTATTACTCCAGGTATTGGTCTTATGCTTCTTAATATTGGTTTTGGTAGTAATGTTTACATTGCTAATAAAGATCATCAATTCTTTGTTATGAAAGATTTCTTTGGTTCTCTTACTGCTAATTTTGCTAGAGATACTATGACTGATGCTTATGCTACAATGATTCTTTCTGTTCTTACTATGTTCCTTGGTTTATTTATCATTGTTATTCTTGCTTATAAGAATGTTAAAGCTTCAGTTATTATTGGTATGCTTCTTTCTTCCGTTTTCTATTGGATTGGTGATTATCTTTTCCTTCATAATAATCCATTTGCTTCTCTTAAAGATGCTTCATTCCTTCCAGCCTTTGGTGATATGTTTAATACAACTCTCTTTAGATTTAATTTCGGTGGTCTTGTTGAAATGGGTTGGTTTACTGCTATTACTCTTGTCATTACTTTCTGTATTATTGATATGTTTGATACTATTGGTACTTTAGTTGGTACAGCTTCTCGTGCTGGTATGGTTGATGAAGAAGGTAATATGCCAAATATGAAGGAAGCTTTCATTGCTGATTCTGTTGGTACTATTGTTGGTTCATGTACTGGTACTTCTACTGTTACTACTTTTATTGAATCTGCTTCAGGTATTGCTGCTGGTGGTCGTACTGGTCTTACTTCACTTATTTGTGGTCTTTGTTTCTTTATTTGTATTTTCCTTGCTCCACTTGCTGCTATTATTCCAGCTGCTGCTACTTCATCTGCACTTATTTATGTAGGTATTCTTATGATGTCTGGTCTTAAGAAGGTTGATTTTGATGATTTTGCTGTTAGTGTTCCAGTTACTATTATGCTTATTGCTATGCCAATTTCCGGTTCCATTGGACATGCTATTGGTCTTGCTATGATTTCTTTTACAATTATTAAAGTTTTCACTGGTAAATTCAAAGAAGTTCCTATCGTTACTTATATTATTTCAATAATTTTCGTTGTCAAATTCTTCCTTATCTATTAAGTTTGAATTTAATGATAAATAATCAATCAATTAATTAATCAATCAATAAATAAATAAATAATAATAAAAAAAATTATTAATAATAAATAATAATAAATAATAATAATAATAATAATCAATAATAACGGTAATAATAAAAATAAATATAAAAAATAAATATATATATATATATAAAATATAAAAAATATATATTATTAATTATTTTTTTAAGTTAACAATACAATAACAAAATATTTATAATACACACACACACATTAACACATTATACACATATCCAATTATTATATTACATTAAAAGAATTATATATATTATTATAAACAAAAATATATTTAAACAAAATTTTATACTATATATTTCTATATTTTTATTAAATTTTTTAAATATAACATTTTAAATATTATTTTATTATTCATATTATTATTATTATTATTATAATTATTATTATTATTATTCATAATATTCATATTATTCATATTTTAACTTTAAACAAATCCAATTAAATATACAAAAAATCACACAAAAAAAAAAAAAAAAAAAAAAAAAAAAAAGAAAAAGAAAAAAATATATATTATATTATTTAGTATATTTATATTTAAGTAAAACAAACTAGTGCAAAATTTTTTATTTATATTTATATTATTTTTTTAAGTTAAGTTTTTTTTATATATATAAACATATTATTTTTTTTTTTTTTGCCTTTTTTTTTCTAAAAAAAAATCATATATTTTATATACTTTTTTAACAAATAATAGTTAATAATAAAAATAAAATTTTATTATTAACTATATATATGTTAAATTAGTATAATATATATGTATATAAAAAGAAAGAAAGAAAGGAAAAAAAAGAAAAAGAAAAAAGAAAAAAAAAATTAAAGTATATAGATATAATATTTTATTCTTAGTAGTTTTAAAAAAAAAATTTATAAAATATAAAAGAAAAAATAGTAAAAAAAAAAAAGAAAAAGAAAAAAAGAAAAAAAAATATATATATAAATATTTTTTTTTCATTATATAGATATTTTTAAATTAAAATAATTTAATTTAAAAAAAAAAAAATAATAAAAATAAGTGCAAATTTAGTATAAATAAATATAAATATGTGAAACTAAAACTAAAACTAAAAAATAAAAAATAAATAACAATAAACAATAAAATTTTATCTATATAAAAAAAAAAAAAAACTATTTTTTTTTTATTATTTTATCCTTCCCTTATATAAATATAAAGTGTTTTTTGTTTTTTGTTTTTGTTTTTGTTTTGTTTGTTTTGTTTTAACTTTATTATTTAATTAAACGAATAAAAATAAAAATGATTAGAATGGGGATAAATAAAATATAAAAAAAAATAAAAATAAAATAAAAATAAAAATAAAACAAATAATTTTTAAATTTTTAATTTTCATATGAAAATTTTTTTTTATTTCGTTTTTTTTTTTTTGTTGTTGTTGTTGTTGTTGTTATTGTATATATATAAAATATTTTTAATTTTTTTATTTATTTAAATATTATAATTATTATTTTTTTATTCTCTTTTCTTTTTTATTTTATTTTATTTTAATCTTTTGCATTTTTTTTAATACATTCTTTATTAAATTTAAAAAAAAATGAATAACAGAGAAAGTTAAAAAAGATTTATCTATATTTTATATTTAAAAATAAATTTTTTATAACTATGTACTTAACAAAAACTTAACTATAATTAATAATTATTTATTATTATAAAATTAATTTGTCAAATTTAAAAAAAAAAAAAAAATTTTAAAAAATTTAAATATGATTAAAATTTATTATATATAAATTAAATTATATTTATTAAATTAAATAGATTAAAAATTATAGATTGAAAAATTATTATTGGTTTTTATAAAATAAAAAACCAATAATAAAAGATTTTTTTTTTATTCTTAATATATATATATATATTCCTTATTTTTTTTTGATTCTTTTTAAAATGTAAAATTATTTTTTTTATTTTTTTTTATTTTTTATATTTTTTTTTTACAAATTAATTAATAAGAATATAAAATCAATATATATTATATATATGTTGAAAAAAAAAATATCAAAATACACATTTCAAAAATATATAATACAATTAAAATTTACCATTCCATGATGGGGTTGTAACTCAGTGGTAGAGTGTTCGCTTCGCATGCGAGAAGCCGCGGGTTCGATTCCCGCCAACTCCATTAATATATTTTTTTTTCCCCTTTATAACCTAATAAAAGTGTGCGTGTATGTATGTATGTAAGAAAAAGTGAAGTGTTATTAAAAATAAAAAAAAATTTTTTTTTTCTATATATATTATTAAGAAATTTAATTTTATTGAATAGAATTTTTTTTCTTTTTTTTTCTTTTTATATTTACCCAATATTATATAATTATATATATTTATTTATTATTATCTATGATTATTTTCTTTATTCTTTTTTTTTCCCTCTTATTTATTATTATTATTTTTTATAATTACAAAAAAAAAAGTATTAAAATAAATATATATATATTTCAAATATATCATAATAATAAGAATAATAAAAATAAAAATTATTATTATTAACTAAAATAACTATTATTATTATTATAATTATTATTATTATTTATTATTATTATTATTAAAACTAAAATTAAAAAATTGTGACATTATTTATATTTAAAAATAATAAATTTTTAAATTAAAACATAGATGTTGAAACAAAAAATATTACCTATAATAAGTAGTATAAAGATAAATAATATAATATCCATGGACCATACATGAACATATATGAACATAAGTAAATTAATAAATATATAAAATAATAATAATAATAATAATAATAATCAAATTTTATTACAGATATTTACATATCTTAATAAAAAAAGTTATAGTAGATATTATTATTAATAAATAGAAATAGAAATATAAAAAAATAGAAATATAAAAAAATACACTTAAAATAAAACAATAAAGAACATCATTATTTTTTTTTTTTTTTTTTAATATTTTTTATTTTTTTATATTAATTTTTTTTTTTTTTTTAAAATGCAAATAATTTATTTTTTTTATTTTTATTTTTATATTTTTATATTTTTTGATATTTTTATATATTTTTTTATTTTATATTTAATTTTACTTTTTAATAAATATGTTGTAATTTATATACAAATATAATAAATAGGTTTTTGTTATTTTTTATTTATAATAATAAATAATTGGTATATAAAGATAGATATTTAGATATTATTAATATCTTAAACATATATATTTTATTTTTGTTTAATTTTTTGATTTCAATAAATACTTTTTTTTTTTAAATTACAGTTCAATAAAATAAATTTAAATTATAAAGTTCTTTTTTTTTTAAAAAAAAAATAATTTTTTTTTCTTTATGTAATAATATATATAATATAATCTAATAGATTAAAAAAATAAAAGAAAAAATTATTTTTTTTTCTCTCTATAATTTAAATTTATTGAACTTGAATAGTACGACGTTGAGTTTTTGGTGGTTCAGCTTTTGGAATAATAACTTCTAATGAACCATTTTCCATTTTAGCTTGAATTTTATCAAGGTCAGCTGTTTCTGGTAAACTAAATGATCTAGAAAATTTACCATATTGACATTCCATTTTAGAAATTTTCATATTATTATTTTCTGAGGTTTTATATTTATTTGGTCTTTCTCCTGAAATAGTTAAAATATTATCTTCAGATATTTCCATATTTATTTGTTCTTTAGTCATACCTGGTAAATCTAATTGAATATAATAATTCTTTTCATCTTCACAAAGATTATTCTTTGGACGGAAATCAACTAACTTATAGACATCTTTGTCAAATAAATTAGAATAAGTAGATTGTCTTTTATTCATTGGATTAGCTTTTGGTTTTGAAGTAGTAGATTTTGGACGACCATTAACATTGGTAGAATTATTAGTAGAATTTTGACGATTTATAGGATGACCAGGATGATAAGCATAAGGAGGATAACCATAAAAGAAAGGAAAACCAGAAACTAAAGGATGTCTACCAAAATAATCATTACCATCATCAGAATTGTTATCATCAACAACTGAATTATTTAAGATGGAACGGTCACTTTCTTGAATTGGGTCGTTATAAAAGAATAAAGACATTTTTGATATTTATTTATTAAATTTATTAAATTTATATATTATATTTATTAATTAGTTTGTTTTGTTTGTTTTGTTTTTGTTTTTTAATTTGTTTTTTGTTTTTATTTTTGTTTGTTTGTTTTTGTTTTTGTTTTTTATTTGTTTTTGTTTTTGTATGTATAGTATTAATTTATAATTAATTAATAATGTAGAATAAAATAAAAAAAAATTTTTTTGAAGAAAAATTTTAAGATATTTATATTCAAAAAAAATTAAAAAAAAAATAATAATTAAAATAAAAAAAATAGTTAAGATAAAATTAATAATTAATTTATTAATTCATTAATTTATTAATAATTAAATTTTATTTTTATTAGGTAAAATATGTAAATAGAAAAGAAAAAAAAGAAAAATAATTTAATAAAAAAAGGAAGTTCAATAAAAAAAAAAAAAAATTTTTTTTTTCTTAAAGAAATTTCTTTATTTTGTTAAAATAAATAGAAAAAAAAATATTAAAAAAGATAAAAAAAAAGATTAAATCAGAAAAAAATGGAAAAATTTTAAAAAAATGAAATTTTTAATTATTTATTTATTTATTTATTTATTTATTTATTTATTTATTTATTTATTTATTTATTTATTTATTTATTTATTTATTTATTTATTTATTTATTTATTTATTTATTTATTTATTTATTTATTTATTTATTTATTTATTTATTTATTTATTTATTTATTTATTTATTTATTTATTTATTTATTTATTTATTTATTTATTTATTTATTTATTTATTTATTTATTTATTTATTTATTTATTTATTTATTTATTTATTTATTTATTTATTTATTTATTAATGGATAAGATTTCCAAAAATAATTTATTTATTTATTTTATTAATAATTTATTTATTGATTATTATTAATGATTTATTAATTATTTATTTAAATTATAATTAATTTATTTATTTAATTATTTAGGATTAGAAAAGAAAAAAAAATAAAGAAAAAAAAAATTTTTTTTTTTTTCCAATAGAAATATCGAGAAAATAAATTTATTAAAAAAAAAAAAAAAGAAAAAAATTTTTGTGTAGAAATTTGTAGAAAAATGTAGGATTACGTATTTTTTTACGTATTACAAAATTATTAAAAAAAAAAAATAAAAAAAAATAAAGATTAAAAATAATCGAAAGAAAAGAAAAAAAAAAAATTAATCAATAAATTAATAATTAAATATTAATAATAATTAATAATAAAAATCATAATTATAAAAAAAAAAAAAACTTATTTAATAAACTTTTATTATAATTAGTTTATTCATTATTAATAAATCAAAAGAAGAAAAAAAAAATATAAATACTTTAAATTTTCAAGTTTGTGAAAAAAAAATAATTTTTTTTATCATCATTATATAAAATATATTTACTTATTGTAATATATAAAACAAAACAAAAACAAAGCAAAAAAAAATAGCGAAGTTAAAAAAATAATTTTTAACAAACAAACAAAACAAAAACAAACTAATTATTAATTATTATAATTTAATAAGTTTAATAAATTTAATAAACAAATATCAAAAATGTCTTTATTCTTTTATAACGAACCAATTCAAGAAAGTGACCGTTCCATTTTAAATAATTCAGTTGTTAATGATAACAATTCTGATAGTGGAGAAGAAGATTATTTTGGTGGACATCCTTTAGTTTCTGGTTTTCCTTTCTTTTATGGTTATCCTCCTTATGCTTATCATCCTGGTCATCCTATAAATCGTCAAAATTCTACTACTACCAATAATGTTAATGGTCGTCCAAAAACTACTACTTCAAAACCAAAAGCTAATCCAATGAATAAAAGACAATCTACTTATTCTAATTTATTTGATAAAGATGTTTATAAGTTAGTTGATTTCCGTCCAAAGAATAATCTTTGTGAAGATGAAAAGAATTATTATATTCAATTAGATTTACCAGGTATGACAAAAGAACAAATAAATATGGAAATATCTGAAGATAATATTTTAACTATTTCAGGCGAAAGACCAAATAAATATAAAACCTCAGAAAATAATAATATGAAAATTTCTAAAATGGAATGTCAATATGGTAAATTTTCAAGATCATTTAGTATACCAGAAACAGCTGACCTTGATAAAATTCAAGCTAAAATGGAAAATGGTTCATTAGAAGTTATTATTCCAAAAGCTGAACCACCAAAAACTCAACGTCGTACTATTCAAGTACAATAAATTTAAATTATAGAGGAAAAAAAAATAAAAAAAAAAATACCAATAAAAAAAAAAAACATATTTATCTTTAAATATATATATATTATCTATATCTAAATATACCTATATATATATATATATATATACAAATTTATAATTAATTTTATTTTTATCTACTATACCATCAATTATAGACAAATAAAACATATATATATAATATAATATATAATATATATATTATTATTACATGATGTTTATTAATATTAGAATATACATACATAAAACTTAGAAAAGTAAAAGAAAAAAAAAATTATAAAAAATAAAAATTTTTATAATTTTTTTCTTTTCTTTCTTACTTTCTTTTTGATTTATACCATAATTTATTATTTAAAAATAAAAAAAAAAAATCTTATTTAATGTAACATATAATTAAAAAATTAAAAAAAAAAATAAAAAAAATAATAATAAAAAATAATTAATAAAAAATATAAAATATAAAAAATAAAAAAATATAAAAATTATAAGTGTTAAAATGTTATTTAATGGGTTTTATTGTTTTTATTGTTTTTATTATTTTTTTTATAAATGGACTATTTTATAATTTATTTCTACTTTTTTTTTTTTTTTTTTTTCATTATTTTATTTTTAAATTATATCAAATTATATCTTATTAACAATTTTTTATAATTATTTTTTGGTTTGTATCTTAAAAAATAAAAAAGTATTAAATTAAATTAGTTATTATTATAGGTAAAATAGAATAAATTATGTTATATAAAATCTTCTTTAATAAAAAAAAAAATAAATAAAAAAATAAATGTTTAATAAAATATATACAGATTTCAGTTAATCCCCTCTTCTGAGGTCCTGTA